TTGTCTCTTCTTTTATATAAAAGCAGATCCAGGCCCCATCTTTAAGAAATTTAAATTGTGGCCACTGAAACAACCAACCTAAAGAATCAAAGAATATGTAACCAAGATAATAAAAACGGCCGTTCACTGAGGTGCTACGGGCCAGGTACTACGCACAGAACCTCATGTACATCATTTCATTCCCTCCTGCAACTTATGAGTTAGGGATGAGATACCAAGGCTGAGAAGTTCAGCAACGTGCTCAAGGGTTCCAGCTGGTGCTTAGAGAAGCCTGCACTGGAACGCAGCTGGCCTGGAGTCTGTGATTGCCACCCTCCCACTGTGCCTGGAGGTGCTCAGGGAAAGGAGAGAGCAGGGAGGTGGAACGGAGAGGGCTCCTTCCGGGAGGGCTGGACCTGGAAGGCAGCCGGAGAGTGGACAGTGAGAAGGTGTTCAAGACCCCCGGCCAGGCTTCAGGCCTGGCCAGAGTGGGGAGATTCCCAGCCCGGCCTGGCTGACTCTGGGTGGCCCCCAGCCGGCAGTGCCTGCCGGTCCGCCTGGCCTGCCTTCCCAGCCCCGCCCAGGGGAGAGCTGGGTCTGCACTGAGAACAGTGAGAACCACTCCCTTTTTCCCCCAGGGTGGGGCTCGGCTGGTCACCCTGGGCGTGGACATTCCTGTCTGAGAGCAAGGCCAGAGCAGCCTGCAGATCCCGCCCTCCGGAGCACACCTGCTGAGCGCGTGCCTCTCCCAGACGGCAGGGCCAGCTTCCAGGGCAGGGCAGTGGGGGCAGGAGCAGGTTTCCGCAAAGGAACCCTGCCCTCATTTGCCGACTGGTGGACACGACCCAGAGGACCCAGCTGCTTCCCGCCACTCGGGGCCGGCCCAGTGACTCCTGGCCTTGGAGACGGAAGTGGTTCTGATCCTTCCTAGCTCACTGAGACAGCGCTGAAAGCCGTGGCCCTGTCCCCAGTGACACAAGCACACATGTTCGTGTACACACATGGGCCCATATGTGCACACACAGAATTTTACCTATAATTATTAACCTCAGTTACAAACCCCCATCCTAGGAATTGTTGCAGCTGACGGTCCACTCTCCTGAGTGTGTTGTTATTTATAGTAATAGTAGCAGCACTACTACTGGGAGTAGTAGAAACACTACAGGCATTTATTTAGAATTTGTAGTAATAAGTATATTCACACCCATTATTTCATTTTAGCTTCCCACAGCCCTGACGAGGTAGATATTAATATCCTTATTTCACAGAGGACAGCAATGAATCAGGGAGAACTATTTAGCCCAGGCAAGGTCATATCCAGGAGACGGCACAGGGCAGACCTGACCTTGGCGGCCATAGGTCCCAAGCCCCATGCGCCTCCCTCGTGTCACACCGCATTAGAGGCTCTGAGAGGCTGGGATTCCACAGTTAGAACATTCTCCAAGCTCACGTGGGCAGGCTACTTATTACAACATACCAAGGAATGTTCGGAGGGGCTTCTTGTCCAGCCATTCTTCTGTCTAAATATCTAGAGACGTTGGTCCCCCAAACCCTGTAGATGCATCATGGCATTTGTTGATGAAATTTTTAAAAGCCATCATTCCTTATAATCAGTACAAGTGTTCTGAGACATTAATGCATTTTTTCAAACTTTTTTGACCGTCACCATCAGTAAGAAATACCTTTTGTCATAACCCAGTACATATGTTGGCACACATAACATAACAAACAAATATATATAACTTAACATACATAACAAACAGGAATATCACAGAGCAATACTTACCTTCCCTCTTGGCAATACACTGATATTTTGTTCTGTTATTTTTCATGCTATTCTATTTTTAAATGCTAGTCACAATCCACCGAATCGATTTTATGATCTACTGACAGGTTGTGACCCGCAGTTTGGAAAACACTGCATTAATAGACACAATAATCACAGTTTTAATTAATAGCGAGCTATTTGAAAGTTGTTTGTAATGTTGCCGAGGTGGACATTTGACCGTGGCTGCAGCCAGGCTGGAGTTTATGTGCACATCATGTGTAATGTTGGACAAGTCCCCTAACGTTTTGATACCTCAGTTTTCCTGCCTGTAATGTATAAAATCAATTTTCTATGTGAAAATTAATAATAATAGCAAGTATTTGTTGAAGTTTTATAGCAGTCCCTTTATACGGCTTCTCTGTCTTAAATCATAACCCTATGAAGAAAGTATTACTGTTATTTCCATTTTACAGATGGGGACACGGAGGCATGTGGAGTTAGGTCCCTTGCCCAGGGCTGCAAAGGAACTGGCAAACCGGTCTTTGAATCCCATGGCTTGAATCCAGTACCCGGGTCTGGATTAGCAGGGAAAGACCTTCTCTGCCAGCTCCCTGAGAGGGCACGGTGAGGGTGAACAAGATGAAGCAGGTGGCAGCGTGACCTGCACAGGCTCAGTGCAGAGTGGGTGCGGGCCACCCCCCCTTCTCAGGGAGACTTGTGCTTGTTAGTTGGTTCATATCTGTCGCATCTCTCTTTTTATACATTTCTTGGGAACAGGGACTATCGTATTCATCCTTTCTTCCTGTGTGACAAAAAAAAATTAGAATGGTATGGAAGATGCCCACTTCCCTCACATCTCTGTATCGCAAACCCTTACAATTTTTATGCTCATTAAATTCTCAACGTTTCCTTCAAGCTGCAGCCGCCCGCCAAGAATAATGAACTGTCCATTAGCCCTTACCCTTACTCACCACATGATAAAAACGCAGTGAACATTGGCTGAATGGAGAAATGGCTGAATCATATAATACTTTTGTTGCCTCTCAGTTTCTTTTATTTTATTTTTTCAGTTCCAATTGACATTCAGTCTCAGTGTTGCTTCTTTATGTCCTTAGTCATAGGGGTTCTATTCAGCTAGTCTTCAAATGATTCTCCAGGTTGTTTGTTCTATAATTTTGATGTGGTCGTGGCGGGAGGCGAGCACAGCATTTACCACTCTCCCATCTTGACCGGAAGTCCTATTACCCCTCACTTTTGATGTTTCGTCTGGTCATCCTAACTGGATAGTGCGTACCGTGACAGTAGGGACCATTCTTTTCTTCTTCGTGCCCATGACATTCAGTGGACTCCAAGGAGGACCAGAGGACCAAGGAGGGCAGGTCCGTAGAGACGCAGCTGTGGTCCCAGTACTGTTTGTGGGTTTTCTGGTGTACGTGAGACCGCCCAACCCTGGACCTTCACCTTGTGTCCTGCCACGAGGGGAATTCGTGGAGCGTCACCAGGTGAATTTGTGGTGCTCCTGGCTTGGCGACTTCGGCCTGGAAAGCCAGGAGAACCACTGTGTGCCATGACCCACTCACACCAGCGTTGTTTGCGAAGTATTAATTTTTGTTTTTTAACCTGGGTAAAACGTACATGTGCTTTAAAAAATTATTTTCTTTATTATTCTGTAATTTGGAAATATATAACTTTTTTATTGTGATAAAATGTGCACAACATAAAAGTTACCATGTTAACCATTTTTAAGTGTACAATTCAGTGAATAGTCGCTTGGTTGTTGTGCAACCATTACTACTACCCATTGTCAGAACTTTCCATCGCCTCAAATGGAGACTCTGTATCCATTAAACAATTCCCTGTTCTTCCCTCCTCCCAGAATTTCTTTCTCTCTGAGAATTTGCTTGTTCTGCGTACCTCATATAAGTGGAATCATACATTTGTCCTTTTGTGACTAGCTTATTTCACTTAACGTTATGTGTTCAAGTTTCATTCTTGGGATGGCATGTGTGAGAACTTCATTCTTTTGACAACTGAATAATATTCCATTGTATGTGGAGACGACATTTTGTTTATTTGTTATTTTGTTTATCCTTTCTTCTGCTGATGGACATGTGTGTTGTTTCCACCTTTTGACTATTGTGATTAATGCTTATATCAGTGTTTTAAGAAAAAAGAAAAGCAAATTTATGACAATGAAACATAAATACACTAGATTTTGCTACATAGTTCCAGGTAACACATAGAAACAAATAAAAAAACTCTATTAAGGAACAAAAGTATAACCAAACTACAAAAACCAAAACACACTTGAAGTTCAAAGGATGACTAGCGTTGCTTTAATGAATAGAATTAAGTAAGTGTTTGATTAAGGCCCAGGATGAGCCAGGCACCCACCTGGGTTTCCGAGCATCCCCGAGGGTCAGTGGGGGAATAGGCCTGGGCACGTGGCTTCCCCTGCAGGCAGATATGGCGTGGACAACAGGAGAGGCAAAGGCAAGGTTTCCAGGCCTTCAAAGCCGGGGACAGAACCCCTGGGGTGCGGTGGAGGGGCACCAAGGAGGTGGCAGATTTTGGCTAAATGATATTGGGGGTAGAAGAGGTATTCACTATGGTACATTCTGAGCTCTGCTCTTTCTTTGCTAAACCCAGCTTGAATTTATCTGTTTCTTAGGCCTGTCCTGGGACCTCGGGTTTCTCTAGTTCACATTAATCACAACTATTAAGCAGTCTTAATCCTGAATTTAAACAACCTTGTTAGTCCAAGTTGCTCTGTCTCCAGCAAATGCAATGGATTTGCCTGACCTGGTTCTTCTGTGTATCTCAGGACAAGCACACTCTGAACAGCTTCCGGAAGAGCTGCCACCCTTTGGGTGATGGGGAGCACAGCTGCCACCCTTTGGGTAATGGGGCAGCACATGGTGCAGCGGAAAGTGAGCAGTCCCAGCCCTCCCCTAGCCGAGCCACCTTGGGGAAGTGGCTCCATCCTTCTGACCCTGCTGTGCAGTGTGAGGGGATTGGGTGACCTCTGTGGCCCTCTCTGGCTCTACAATTTAACGATTGCCATGTTCTGATTTAACCACTTCCCTCCAGTGCTCTTGGAGTGACTCAGCAGTCTGAGAGTTTGGCTGTTGTTTTTAAGGAAGCCTGATTATTTTGCCCTCTCAAGCAAGCATATGTTCCATAAACAATCTAAGTCTTGATCCAGCTGGAGTTTGGCTGGCTGACTGGACTTCTTCACTGTGTCCTCTTTCAGGGAAGCAGCCCCAGTCCCCGCTGCCAGAGGCTCCCCAGGCCATGTCAGAACTTTGAGCGAAGACTGGTGACAGGGAGCGGCCGCCCCCGCCTGCCTCCCCAACAGGGCTTCAGGATGCTGAGCCTGAAGCTCCCCAGGCTGTTCAGCATAGACCAGATGCCCCAGGTAGGTGCTCTCACTCCAGCGGTTGAGTTCCAGGTGGTGACGAGGAGATGGCCTCTGCAACAGGGCCAGACGGTGCTGTCTTCAGCCAGTCTGCTCTCTTCAAGGAGTTCCTCCCAGACTCCTTGGGGGATGAGAGCTTCCTATTCCCCCACTTACACCAAATCTGGAATGGAAATGCTTCTGAAGCTTTTTGTGATACAGCCCCTTGCTGTGACATCTGTATTTCCTCTGAAGGGAACTCATTGAGATGACCGGTTCCAGCTGAAGCAACGAGGCCAGCATCATCCTGCTGGAGAGGGCTTTATTTTTAGGACCCTCCCATGGGTACTTGGGCCCAGTCTAGAGGTGAAGACACCCTAAGACGTGCTTTGCTCTTATCCCCCATCACTTGCAGGAAGCCCAGGCCAGGCAGGGGTCACGATGATGAGGAGGGTTGTTGAGTGAGCCTGAGCCCTGCCCCTGGTCTCCAGCGCCTGGGGACTTAAGGGAAGTCATCCCTGAATGCCTGATACTCATTGGCAGTCTGCATTTCAGATAAGCCTTAGGTGAGGCCGGTCTTCTTATGCTCCGTGCCAACTGGTGCAAGCCCTCCTTCCCTTTCAAAGAGAACATGAGTTCATGATGCCCTTGTTATGGTGTCCAGTTTCCTTGCACTTTGACTGGAGAAGTGTTATTTCAAAGTGAGACGTTTCATCTGGAGCGTGTCCCAGAGGGAGGGGAGAGCTCCTGTGCACTCAGATGACCACCAAGCGCTTACAACACTCCTCAGCAGTATGAATGGAAAATAAAAAGGAGATACACTGTCAGATGCCCTCCCTAAAGGCCAGTGAAGCGAGGTGATTCCAGCAAGAGGACATTGAGGAGCAATCAGAGGCGATGCAGAGCTGTTTGGTAGGAGGAGGTGAGGAATGCAGCAGGCAACAAATTTGAAATGAGACTGGGTTCCCCGACTGTTGTGCAGAGCACCTGCCTCGGGTCTCAAAGGGCTGTAAACTTGCCTTTCTGGTGCATGCATTTCAGTGGTTGATTCTACCCACAGGGCACGAGTGCCTGTGATTAGTGGAAACAACGGGTGATGGTCACAAGCGTGTGTTTTGTGATATAGGCTTTGCTGTAAGCCAGCCTTCCATTGCCGCTCGGGTCGTCAGATCCGGGCCTTAAGAACCAGAAGCACTGAGCTGCCTATATGACCACAAGTCCTACAGGTGACACCGGCATGGTGAAATAACAGGGAGCCAACGTAGGTGACTGTGCTATTCACTTGGCTTTTATTAATGCAGATTCACTTAGCTTTTATTAATGTGAATTCACTCAGCTTTTATCAATGCACATTCACTCAGCTTTTATTAATGCAGATTCAATTCAAATCCATATTAACCTAATAATAATAATTACTTAGATGCTATTAGTAATAACATTACACAAGAGGACTGGGGGATAACGAATCCGAGTCCCAGAGTCTCAGTCTACGGGTCCGAGAGACAGCACGGTAGGCAGGGGCCGTCAGCGTCTCACAGGGCAGGATCTCCAGAGCCGGGCTGGCAGCGGGGCAAGTGAAGTCCTCGGTCCAGCAGGGCAGACCTCCGGCAGCACAGCAGTCAGGAGATCGGCATGGCGTGGGGCAGCACGTTGGTGTGTGGAGCTCAGCTGTCTCAGTGTTGGTCTAAAGTCCACCCCAATTATATCTAAAAACCTGGCTCTCAAATGAGCTGTTAATATTGTGGCTCGCAGCCAAGAGTCCCCCAGGGGCCTATCAGTAGTTGTGCCTCTCTTCAGACACATCTGTGTGTAGATATTTGGGGTGTGCTGTCCTGAAAGGCATTTGGCGGGGCGGCTGGTGTGACTTAGGTAGTTTTCTTCTTGAACCGAAATGTCATGGCTGACTGGCAGCCATCTTGGTTGACATGAGTGACACTATCTTGCTTTATATACTTTATCCTGTCTTGACCAGACCAATGCCATTTTATTAGTCTGCTCTCCACAGCAATTCTTTGATTCCTTCACTCATGAAATTTTTATTGATTGTCTATTATGTGCAAGGTGTTACTCTCTGCAGAGCCCAGAGAATAACCACATGTGAATTCTGCCCATGCACAAGCACTGCCATTGCATAGTGGGTTAAGATGTGTCCCAAGAGAGGGACAGATAGGTCCGGAGGAGGGATTGGGGCACATCCATCAGGGCAGAGGAAGGGATGAGGGATGGTCCAGTGAAGAGGGCCCCCTTTAAGATGGGTTGTAAGGGTGGGTAGGATTTGGGAGGTGGGGAGAGGCTTCCAGGTGGGAGGAACAGTGTGAGCAAAGGCCTGGAGATGGGAAACCTCAGGGCAGGTGTGGGACTCTTGGGGTAGGGATAATAGGGGCCTGCTTGGGCATCCGGGGTGTTTTGGTCAAGGTCAGGTTCGGACTATGTGTGGGAAGGAAGCAGGGAGCAGTCTCAATTGGTACTTTTGCTAACCTGCTGAGATTCCAGAGATGAGGAACAGAAAACCTCAGAAGGTTGAAGAACATGTCTTCTCTGTCCCGTTCTTGTAAATGATGGAGATGACAATATCCTTTTTAGTAAAATGGCACAAGTCAGAGGTGGAGAACCAACATCAAAGCCTTCCTTGGGCTCCCACATCCACTGCTGAGCTCCCCAGCATCATGCCCCTGAGGTTCCTGCTGTCGATGGGAAAACAAAGTGCCTCTGCCCACCTGAAGGGTGGTTTTATAGGAGGATTTGGTGGGGGAAGGGGAAAGGCATTTTTTGGTATTAAAATGAATATAAGTATATTAAGGAGAAAAATGCACAATTTGCATAAATATTTAAGTTTGGAGATTTCATGCAAATGTTAAGCTTACTTTTGGTGGACTCCGTGGGTCCCGAGACAGTCTGCAGAGGGCTTTGGGCAACGTACTTAATCTGCCTACCTCCGTTTCCCCATCTGTAAAATGGGGAGTAGTATCTGCTCCCTAGGATTATGGTGAGGATTAAATGAGGGTGTAACTCCTCTTGACATTGTCAGGGTTATAATTCTGACATGTTCCTGGCTGATAGATTACTCACAGGAAAGGCCAGTCCCTCCCTTCCCTTAGAAGGTAGGACTTAGGTATATGCCTCCAGTTTTTAGTCTCCCTCATGCCTAAAACAGGCCTGGACATGTTAGCCAGATATTAAAGATTTGAACAAACAGACCCTGGCCAGTGTGGCTCAGTTGGAGCATCATCCTGTGAACCAAAAGGTCATGGGTTCCATTCCCAGCCAGGGCACATTCCGGGGTTGCAGGTTTGGTCCCCATTCAGGGTGTGTACAAGAGGCAACCGATTGATGTTTCTCTCTCAAATCGATGTTTCTCTCCCTTTCTCTCTCCCTCTCTTATCCTCTCTCTAAAATCAGTAAGCTTGTCCTAGGCTGAGGATAAAAAAAAAAAAATTTTTTTTAATAAACAGCCAAAGGATGGAAAAAATATCTAGGCATTGATTCCTACACAGACCTAATTTAAAGACAATACAGAAACAGCTAGATAGCAAGTTAATATGGAACACAGCATGACACTTTGACACGAAACAAAGGCATTTTGTGTCAAATTGAGAATCTTTTATTAGCGCCAGCCTTGGCCAGCAGGCTGCAAGTAAGCACATGACATTGTCCCACATGCCTTATTAGTTCAGTGGCACAGGCAGGAGGCTTCCCTGAGGTGCTTTGCAAGAATTTCCCAGCTTTGCACTGCAGCTCTGCTGCTTACTGTGGGAACTCCAGCAAGACTGGTAGGTAACTCTCTAAGCCTCAGTTTTCTTACCTATAAAATGGAGATAGTATCTGGTAGGCCAGTCTCACAGGGCTATTGTGAACGTCCCAGAAGAATTAAATAGAACAGTGGGATTATTATGAAAGGAAGGAAGCATAGGCAGGTAAATTGCTGGGAATGGTTTTGGGTAGGTGGGCTTGGGCACCTAGGAGCAAGGAGCCATCGCAACAGGCAACTGGTCCCTCCAGCCCAGGATTTCTGAGTGGGTGCTTGGATCACCACCTTCAGAATTACCTGGGGGCTTATGGAAATACAATAGCACTCTGATTGCAGGCATCTTGGTGGTGGTCTTGATTTTAATCAAAAGGAATGCTTTCAAAATGTCATCATTTAATATAATGATAGCTCTGTGTGTGTGTGTGTGTGTTTGTATAAATAATCTTTATCAGATTAAGGATATGCTCTATTCCTAGTTTCCTAGGATTTTTTTTTTTTTGCTTTAATTAGGAATGAATTTTACAGAACCTTTTTTTCCTATCCATATATCTTGAGTTGGTCTCATTTAAGTTGTTAATGTGGTGAGTTATGCTGATTGATTACTAATGTTAAACCAACCTTGCATTTAAATACAATTTGGTCATGTTGTAATATCTTTTTAATCTGCTGCTAGAATCTATTAACTAATATTTTGTTTGGAACCCTTAAATCTATTTAATGAGTTGGTGAGTAATTTCTCCTTCTTATACTGCCCTTGCCTGGATTTGTGATTAAGATTATGCCAACCGCAAACAGGTTTGAGAATATTGCCTATTTATTCGGTAGAAAAAATTATACTATTAGAGCTACACATTCCTGAGTGTTTAGTAGAATTTATCTGTAAAATGTGTGAGCAGGGCCACCATGTTGCGCACTCCAAGGGAGTACCATTTGCCTTTTTGTCTACATGAATGGCAACCTGTAAAGTTATAGAGGGGACATCTCAATTCTATAGCTGAATTTCCTTTGTGGAAAGATTTTTTTTAATTTGTTGAGATATAATTCACATACAGTACAATTCACCGTTTAAAACTATACACACTTCAGTGGGTTTTAGTATTTTTACACACACAAAGTGTGTTGCACAGAACCATCACCACAATCAATTTTAGAACATTTTCATCACTTTAGAAAGAAACTCTATACCAATTAGCAGACATTTCCCACCCCCCGCCCCCTCCCACACCCCATCTCTGCTCCCAGGCCTATGGCAATCACTAATTTACTTTCTCTG